TCATTCATTAATATAAACTTTTTGTAAAAAAATTTCACCGTCGTTTAAAAAAACGAAAAAAAATCATTTTCAATTAAAATTATCATTATTATTATTAACATCATCATGACGGATACATAACTTATTTATTTAAACATTAATAAAATCGATCAATAAATTAATAAATAAATAAATAAAAAGGCATAATGATATTTTCATGCATCCATTATTTATTTATTTTTTTCGAAAAAAAAAAGAAGGAATTTCGTAATAAATAATATTTTTTCGTCTTCTGCTATCATCTCTTTTCTTTTTTTTTTCTGTATCGAATATAATAAGAAAAAGAGAGAGAGAAAGAAAAATTATTATTATTATTATTATCATTTTTTTTTATTCTCGCACGAGGAAAGAAAAAAAAGGAAAAATTTATTTTCTTAAGAATTTCGTATATAACGGCATTAAATTGCAACAGCTTCGACAGGAAGTAGCAGAAAAAAAGCAGAAGAAAAAAAAAATTTCTTTTTATCGAAAATCCTTACAAACCAAATCATTCATTTTTCATTTTATTTTTTTTTTGTTACACCTTCGTATTTTTTATTTTAAAAAAAAAATTTATTATTTAAATTATTCATTATTCATTTTTTTCCCTCTCTCTCTCTCTCTCTCTCTCTCTCCAGTTTTTTTTCTTCCAGTTTTTTTTTTCCAGGTATTTAAACATCGTGTAAATCATAAAATATTAATTATGATTTATTTACACTTGTGTGTTTTAAGGTTTTTTTTTTGTACGTTAGTTACGTCATACTCGTTTTTTTCCGTTTCCGTTTCCCTCCTTTTTTTTTTTAAATTTTTTATTCAAAAAAAAAAAAAAAAACTTTATTATTATTATTATTTTTATTTTTTTTTACGGTGATGATAACAATTTTCGCTAGAAGGATGTATATATTATGAGAGATTAAGGGTATAAGAGTGAGAGAGAAGGAGAAGGGGAGGAGAAAAAGGGAAAGAAAAGAACAAAGAGAAAGAGAGAGGAAAAAGAAAGTGAGAGCAGAACGAAAAAGATACAGTAAGAATAGTAGATTCAGAAAGAAAGAGAAAATTAGGAAGAGAAACAGCAACAGGGAGAATGAGAACGGAGGGAGAGAAAGTGACAGAGAGTAAGAGATCGGAGGAAGAGAGAGAAAGACAGCGTCAAAGTGAAAGAGAAAGAAAGAGAGAGAGAGACAAACAGAACGGTTAAAAAAATTCAGTAAAACCAAACACAATCGTATCAACTATTTTTATGTTATTATTATCGTTACCATTATTATTATTATTATCATTACCATTATTATTATTATTATTATTATTGTTTGTTCGATTATAAAAACACAGGAAAAACATAAAAAACGCGGAGTCGTTTTTCCATATACAACCCATTTAATTCGTTATCAAAGTGAAAATTATAGTTGAAAAAAAAGGCCTAAAATTGATTTTTTTAAAAAGAAAAGAAGAAAAAGTAAAAGCGAAGACAAAAAGAAGAAGATAAATTAAATAGATTAGATGAGTAGATAGATAGATAGATAGACAGATAGGTGAACTGAAACATAAAAAATAAATGGGTGATATATAGAAATACATGAATCAGTTAAAAAAAAAAAACCAAAACGTCCGAAATTCGTATAAGAAACTCGAGGAAATGAGAAAAATTTATTTATTTATTATTTTCACCGGTAGGGGGCATGGATAAAATTTAAAAGGGGCGGGGATTAATGAGGAAGGGGAGGGAAATAATGAGAAAGAGGAGGGACTTAATTAATATTTAAAAAAAAAACATTTAAACAAATTTTTTTTTTGATTTTTCCTGACTATACGAGGTGGAGAAGAAAAAAAATGGTATTAAACAGTATTGCCAACACATGAAAATAAAACTTTTTTTATTTTATTTTCTTTTGAATAAATTTTTTTTAGATTGAAAGTAATTCGGAGTTGAATTAGTTAATTTCGAAAAGCAGAAGAAAAAAAAAAGAAAAAATTTAGCTTATCATGCAAACAGTAGAAAATCACGCAAAAAAAAAAATTTTTTTTTTTTTTTTTTTACTTCAAATTTATTCTACTTAACTTGTCAGCTACAAAAAAAAAAAACAGTTTCCTTTTCTATTCATTTTTACCGTTTGAATTTCATGATGATGATGATAATAATAATAATAATAAGAGAAAAAGAGAAAGAAAATGAAAAAAAAAAAGGAAATTTTTTTTTTTTGTGAAGTGCACGAAGCGGTGCGAGGGGATTCGGTAGAAAAAACGTTAAATGCACGACTTCCGATTTAAAAAAAATTTTTTTTTCTACGTTTTATTCTCCTCCAGTTTCCTTATCCGGGTGAGAGAGAGAGAGAGGAAAAATCATTTCCCGACCAAAAAACGGGCTGGGGAGGGGGAAACAAAAAAAAATGGGCTGAAAAAAATGTGTGATGATTTTTCTCCTTATGGAAAAGTTTTTTTTTTTTTTTTGAACGCACACACACAATTTCTAGAATTTTCCAAAAAATTAAAAAAAAAAGAAAATCTTATGACGTCATAAATAATAATTTTTTTTGTCTTCTGCTTTATATTAATAATAATAATTATTATTATTCTTTTCATTTTTTTTGGCTTCGCGTAAAATTTTTACCTTTTTTTTCATTCGTTCCAGAATTTTTGTTTCCTGAATTTCTGGAGAAGGAAAAAAAAAATTTTCTTTTTTGCATAAAAAAGTCGTTAAATCCTTTTTTTTTTAAAAAAAAATTTAAATTCGTAACGGCCGCCAGAAAACAAATAATAATAATAATAATAAATTATTAATTAAAATCGCGACGGAAAAAATGCGAGCCTAAAAAAAAAAAAAATTTTTTTCCATTGAGGAAAAGGTAAAAAAAAAAAATTGCCTCGCATACCTTTTATAAAAAAATTTTTCCTTTTTTTTCCTTCCTTTTTTTCCTTTTTTTTTTTATATAGAATTCAAATTATTGAAACGAGAAAGAATCGATTAGGAATGTGAAACCTAAAAT